ATTATTCAGACACAAAATTGTTGTAGATACTATTTATGACATCAGCGATTTTTAGCATGAAGACTGAAGGTTTATTTCCACCAACTTGTTTCTCAGAGACCGTGACATAATATAAGTAAATAATTTTATACTTGGAATTTCAACTCGCATTGGACACTGCCATGGTTATAAATTTTGTATCACATTCTTTGAGTTAAATTGTTTTTTTATTTATTCTTTAATCCCGATGGACTTGTGATGTCAGAAACAGCCCTGGGCATTGTAAGTGACGGCTGAATATGTACAATATTGAGCAGTTATCCGAAATTAGTAGAAACGACCCTATTATTAGTATTAAAATTCATAGTAATTCTTTGTAAAGTTATTCTCGTGAGGGCGTGTACTCTTTTTTTCTTTATTTCTTTATTTCTGTTGTGTTTTGTATTTCTTTTGTTCGTAAACTTTTCTTGGTCTGAACCTTCTTAACGATACAAGCGCGAACCTGACGTTAATAATTATAAGCCACGTCACTCACTCATTTCACATCGAGGGCATCACCTCTTGACGATCACTCAAAAAAATTTAACTCTTCTGTTTACTATGGAACAATATTGTGAGGAATTTAGAAACTAATTCCTTCGGCGGTAACATATCGAACTGGACCCCCTAAATGGATAGAAGATGTTTGTTGCACGCCTAAATCTCAGCACAACCTTAATTTATAATATGTCCAGTAGATATGACATCTATCCCAATTGTCAATGGTTTGTGGTAAAATTACTATGTTTAGTAGTTGATAAAAACTCTCCACATTACAATGGTTTGTGGACAAATTACTGTCTTTAATAGTTGATCAAATTGTAGATATATTTAATCACAAGATTAAACTTTTGGATTTCGTTGTACAATTTTTCATCTTCTGCATCCATTTCAGATATTTTTTCCATTTCCAACATTGCATATTATAGTATTGTAACTTTAATATAAAACTTTTTGCAATTACTCTATGGATTAAAAGATCCCTTACCAATCGCCTCCCTCCTTAATTGACTTCACTGGCCTGTTTGAAAAGTCAAACGAGCTTCACAAAAAAAACACAAGGTAATGTCGAGCGAAATGTACCATGCACGAGATAAAAGATAAAAGTTAAAAGATAACAGATAAATGATCTATCGCGATGTTAGCGGCGAGATTGACCATCCCGGCGCGTAATCTGATTAGAGTTATCGCGGCCCTGGGACGGCAAACGGGCAAACGGGGCAAATGGGGCGAACGGGGCGAACTACCCCTCGGAGCGAGGAACACCCTTAGCCGTCGTGATCATTTATACCAATACGGAGATCAGTCAAAAGTCGTGTCATTCCTCTGCCTAGATCAGATTGGATTAGAGACTGCATTAATAATAATTGGAACTGGGAAGCGATGCAATCGGACGATGTAATTTATTAGTATAGTTTGCTTGAACTGCAGAAGGACGGCTATAATCCGTACTGAAATGCGAGAAGGTTTTGTGACTTCTTAATTTTCTAATGTTTTCTAAATTGAGCAGAGTCATCAATAAAATTGATATTGACAAAAATCACAATTCTATTTAAGACATGTTGGATGATGTAATTTATAATCCAGCATGAAAAATTTCTAAAAAAAATAAAGGAAAAAGTATGAGGATATTTTATATTTCGATTTTGTGTTACAATAGTATTTTCTAATTTTTTATAGTTTATATAGACCCCACAGGGCCTATGCCTATGTTTTGAAACATGCCATCAAGGTTCTGGAAAAATTTGTTAATAGTGGAATTTGGAACTTCTGTATTTTCATATCAAATATTTTAGACTATTTTTTGGGGGATTGCATATTTATAAAAAATAATCATTTTTCAATGACTTAAATATTTCACATAAATATTATGTTCATGCATACATGTTTGTATATGCACCTATATATGGTATTTGCATATATATATATATATATATATATATATATATATATCGCAAGGATATAACGGATATTGACAGTTATATCCGTTGTCAGATTATCCAGGTAATTTTATGTTTCCGTTATCCGGCTTCTCGAACAAGCTAAACCTGCATTAGATTTAGATTAGATTAGACTTAAAAACATTACTATTTAATTAAATTTATCTATTTTCTTTGTAATCGTTTTATGAATTAACATAAATTAGTTAATTAATCAGTATGTTATTAATTTGTGAATAAATTTAAATAAACTGATGCATAGAATGGTATGTCACTATTTATTAATTAGAAGTAAAACGCTGTTAAATTTCATATTTTTAATGTAATTTATTTCAATCCTGTCTGATATTTAAATAATGTTAAATATTAATTAAATGTATTTCATTAATATTAAAAAAAACTTGATTTCTTATTTTTTAAATTTGTAATGATTTATTTAAATGGTTTTGGCTGTCAAGTAAAATTTGCAGATATAACTTACGGAAAAATACTAATCTATTTTACTATAAAAAAATAAAATGAATAATAAAAAATAATTTTTTACATTTATGTAAAATCTCGAAAACGGAATCGGAATTTAAGTAAATGCGAGTGACGGTGAATTAATTCAATATATTCAAAGAAGAAACAAAAATTTAATTTTATGTTGTTCTGGAATATGAGTTCTGATGATCATATCAGAAGCATTATATAACACCTACCTCAGTTTGATCAAATCAATACTCTTGTATTTAATAAGATAACAACGAAATAAAGTTTGAGAATATGTAAGATTGAATTGTTGGGAATCTGTCGCCTATGGAGTAATATTAACTGCCATTACGCCACCCGCAGAATTGCAGATCCTAAAATTACACTCTCCCCTTCGGGATATATAAAAACATTAACGCGGATTCTACTTACAGCCCCGAATTGGTCCTTTATATAAAAATTGATGGGGATGACGGAAGAAAGAGTTACTTACAAACTCTATTCTGTAATTTATTTTTAGTTCAATATTTAAATTAATCATTCAACTTGCTATAACGTCATTACATCGTCAAATGTTTTATGTTTCAATTGAGATGCGTTTTTCGTGTTTCGTTCTGCACGACATGATTTTCTTTTTGCGAACGACGAAGTCAGAAGTTGAAAATTGCTGAAAATGTACTTTATGTTGTTCTCAAAGAAAATATGTAGTTTTTCTTGATTTGCGCAATGGATTTTGCAAGTCTCACAGACGTAAAATGTTTGTACTTTGAATATATATGAAAAAAATGTATTAAAATTTGACTATTTTTTACTTTTCAAAATTGACATTCACAATATTTTGTTTATATATAATTAATATGGTAATTCAAGATTTATAATACAAATCTGTATCCATTTATATCGTTTAGTCTCATACAAATTTTACAAAGAAAATATTCATAGTCCTGATTATATGACTTGCTGTCGTGATCAAGAACGTGGGCTAGTACAAAGTACTTTAAGATTAGATCCCGACCTTGGTCAGCCTCATTTCGAGGAGTATGATATCATTTTTTTTCTTGATGTTGTAAATATCAGATTAAATATGAATCGCCTTTCGTGGACATTGCTGCATCACCTACACACCAATATTATTATACATATCTAATATATAATAAATTTTAGATACGTTATATATATTACACTATATTATAGTCAAATTGGTGGTTTTCTGGGATGCCTTCTTGAGAATCATACTAGTTTAGAATGTATATATATTATATTTATGATAGCAGTTAAAAAAGTTCTGGTGATGAAAATTTAAAAATTGAGTATAACAATATACTTAGCCATTGAGTTTATATTTTAATTTTTTTACATATTGAAAACTAACTTTTCAATATGTTTTCAATCTGTCCTTCGATATCGATATCTTACCACATACATGTTCCACTCTTTTTCATTTTTTTACTTGTCGTTTGATCGTTAAAGGATCATATAATTTATATAAATTTAATACAACCCATTTTTTCAATCACTCTGTATCCTCAGACATTAACTTTTCTATATCCTACTCAAAATACTAAATATGGTAAAATCGAGATTAAATAATTTGCCATTTTGGATAAATCCAGTAACTCGTACTACTTTTGAAAATTCAAATCTTTCTATATGTCTAATTTCTACTGCTGCCAACATCGAAATCCTAGCCCCGTTATCCCATGTCGCCCATCCCTAAACCCTGGGTGTTATTCGCGGCTGAAGTTTGCCATGAAACTACCATGTTTGCTCTACGTAGGACGAGTCCAGGTCCTGCGTGATTAATGATAGCCGTCTTTATGTAATCCTGCAAGGATTAAATTGCAGCTGGTACGCCATAACCCGATCTAAGGGATATTGTTTCTCTGTTCCTCTTTTCGCGTTTTTTTATTTAAGAATTCATAATAAATTGGACATGAATTCTGTTCAACTTAAAAAAATTGTGTAATAGGTATTTTATTTAATTTACTGTAATCAGATACACCGAGAAGAATTGGAATAACTATTCATTTCTTCTATTTTTTATAAACTTGGCTTCTAATATATTTTACTTTTCTATTTACTCTTTTCTGGTTGTTTATATCTTGCCAGTGTTCAAGTAGTCTTTTTTACTCCAACTACATGTTAGTTATTTTAGAAAGGTTATATAAGAAACTGTTGAATCCAACTTAAAAATAATAATATATTTTATAAAACAACTTTATAACGTATGTTTAAAAATTACGTTTAGCTATCGTAAACTCAATAACACTGTTCAAAACGAAAAAAACTAACAACCCAAAATGCTTTTGTTAAAAATTTTAAGGTGTAACCATTTATGCTATGGTTGGTTATGTGTAACCATCTTTTGAAATAGTATCCTTGAAAAATACCATGCATTTTTGGTTTTTGAGATAAAGGACTTTTTCACCAGGACTTTTTCACCAGCTGACTTTTAAGACCCGCTCTATCCTATTAAGGTTTTGGACCTATTTTTGCACTGATCCTTTCTAATAATGATAGTTGAGATGGTATTAATTCCAAAAATTAATTACATTTCTTCTTTTCTTCCAGGCGATGCCAGTAATGCCAGTATAGGCAGTGGAGAAGGTACAGGAGAAGAAGACGATGACACGAATGGTAAAAAGAACCAAAAGAAAAGAGGAATATTTCCAAAAGTCGCCACAAACATTCTTCGGGCGTGGCTCTTCCAACATTTAACGGTGAGTTGTGCACAAATTTTTATTTATGAACAGTATTTATTTGGATATTTATTAGCAAACCGAGATAAACGAACTCTAAAATTAATAAAAAGAAACTTATCATTTATGTAATGCGTAGTCAATCAGATCGTCTGCACTACTGCACTACCAATTTGCAATTAAAATCTCAATTAAGGAAACAGAACTAAAATATAATTTTTAACCAATATGGGTTAAATTAATATATTTTGTAGGGTTTACGGTTTACAATAGTTTGATAACAACATACAAATGTATATGAATTATTTTTTCGCAGGCTAAAATTTTATTGAAATTGTTATTGTAGATCATTTTTATATATTTAAAATAATTTGGCAATATAATACTTTTGTGGTTATATTTGCTTCTTTCGTTTCTTAAATAAATTTTTGAATGGCATCGATATAATCTTGTGTTGGTGCTTGCATCAAATAAACTTACTAGAATGCAAAAAGTGAATTGTGCAGTAATAAATACAACTTAATCCAAATTTTAATTAAAAACTAATTTATTCAGACTCCCAAGTTCCAACTTACACTATATAATCTTTATGCATTGCGATGGGATCTCTTAATCGTGTTAGATCATTCTGATTCGATATGCAACACATTTGAACTCGAAGACTATTAGAGAAATTATTTTTTTCTCCTTGTCACTTATATCATGATATGCATGAATCTTTAATGAAGACGATGAAAAAAAAAACAGAAACGTTAACAACATATGTTCCGAAGCCAACAGCTTCGCTCTGATGCGCACTGGAACAAGAATCGTCTCGGTGGAATAAGAATTTATTTTCAAGGCACTTTGAGATTATTGAGATTAACAGGATGAAACGGAACCCTAAGTAAAAGGTCTTGCAATTTTATCATATGGTAACTTATAGTTTGGTAGAAAACAGCGACCTAGGTTAAAATTTGTTTGCGGTTTTTGTGCCCTTGTGATAGGTGAAAATACTATTTTAGTCAGAAGTTTAGTGTTATAAATTAAGATCAGCTTAGTGATGCATTTCCTACAAGTTTTTGCTACAAATTTAAATAAATATCTTAAATATAAAAAAATCGCTATAAACCATATTGCTATTTTTAAAAAGTAGGTTATTGTCGTAACTAGTTACCTTTTATGATTTTTGCAATTTTTTACACTTATTTATGATCATAAATATGAGCCCTTAAAAAGAAAAGGACAACTTTAAACTTCTGCATGGAATTAGAAAAGTAATCAGAAATTCTTAATGTTTTAAAAATATAAAAAGTTATTTTTTTCTTCTCCCTTATCTGGCAGTTTGTTATATCTTCAGAAGGATAAATTTTATGCAACAACCTAAAAGTTGTCATTTTCTTATCTATCAAATCATACACATATATTAGATATTAATTTATTTTATTATTATATTACTTTCTAACATTACATTCATGTTGATTGAATTTTCTTACTTTTGATTTTTTTACTTCAATTATAATACGATCCAACTCTTTCTTATTTGCGTCTTGATTAAGATTTAGAAAAGCAGCAGGTGAACTACTGTTAATAGTCAATACTTCCATAAAACTGTCCAAATATTTGTATAAATTTCTAAATAAATCCGATGAACTGATACACATTAGATCGAACATGTTTAGTTCCATAAATCAGCAAAATAATATACACATAACGAAATTTATTAATCTCGCAACAATGTATTAGCTAAACAAGCGCTGAAAATGTTATTTATAGTGTGCGGAGGTTTTTAGTTTTTTTTTTGTGAGTTTATTTATCGCATGCATGTATACTACTTAATACATAAATTACATAAAGTCGGCTATTAATATGTCATTCAATCAAATAACAATAAAACGATAGGCTAGAGGTGGCGCGACAGAGACTACGAGAGTTGAATGCAAAAGGCGACAACGTATTGGGGCAACTTGCTTAAAATAAAATTACATGATCATAGGCTTTGTGAAAAATAGACAGTCAAGATATTATTACTACTGCCTTATTGTTGGTTTTCTTATTTGTCGCAAATATGTCTTCAAAACCAGTAAAAGCTGAAGTAAAATTTTGTATTTAATATTTTTCCAAACTTAGTTCAGGATTTTTTTGCGAATTTGTGGGCGAAAGCTCTGCACTTTTCTCCTGCCCAATACTAACCAAGGCATTATAAAGTTTCATCAAATGGCTTTCAAATTTTTGAAATTGGTTTAGCCGTTTTTGAGCAAACATCGACGAATGGTCAAATTTTGGCACACAGTACAAAAGCGGTACCAATTTCTCCAAACTTTGATGATTTTAAAATTAAACCAATTATCGTGGGCCCATAGTATTTTAGTATGTTCTTTTAAAGCAAGATCTCTATTATCATAAAAAGTTTAATTAAAATGGCCAAATTTCAATTTTTGCAAGGATTTAATACGAAGAGAAGGACCATCTGATCTTGTCCAAAAACTGGTCAGCACGATTCCCAACCAATATTAGTTCAGGATTTTTGGGTAAAACGTGAAGGAAAATATTCGTACTTTTCTACTTATTATAAAGAAAACACTTAGCCGGTCGTGGTGCAAAACTAATTAATGCGAGTTTTTACCCAGTTACATCGAATGTTTTTTAAATTGTTAAGATTGGTGAAGCTATATGTGAAAAATCGGCTCACATGCACTTTTCCAATTTTGGTCTCAAACTATCCAAAATTACTCGAATCTTTAGGGAACCATAAACTTCACCTTCGGGAAGTTAATAGTAAATTCGTTTGTTGTTTATAAAATCAGTGATTATTATTTTTCTGATTATAATAAAATGTTTTATTTAATATAAATAAAATAAAACATCCTGTAATTTTCAATTATATTTTTTAGTAAAGTAGATCCTAACCCATGGAACTGTTGTACTACTTATTGTTAGTAAATTTAAAGTCTTGTGCAAGTTCATCTTGATTATTGTGCTTTTACAACCACGTGTCATCTGCAAAGCAGTTTCCTCATCTGTGCAGTTTGGATTTGGATTTTTCTTAGATTCTTTCACCATTTGTTAGCGGAAAAGGTCTATTAAACGGATCTCCTCTTCCGTATGCAGAAACGCATCATAGAATCCCGTCGGGTGTTCTTTTCTCGAAATTCGCGAATCTGTTATCGGATTTTGTTCAGTGTCATACTGGTTGCAGATTGCGATCTGTAACGGCGCCGTAAAATAACTGTTAAATTGTCGTAAAGGCAACCACCGAACGACCGAACGACTGAACGACACCAACTTGCGCGCGAAACTGCGGCTGAGGCATAGTCCGACGGCTGGCGAGGGCTTTTGGGATGAAATCGATGGAAATTGAAATATTAGATTCAATCTATAAAAGTTCTCCGCGAGAATCTAATCAGTAGTCTTTCTCATCTATACACTTAGTAAAAAAAAATAATATTTGCCCGCTAATTCTATTTTAATTTTTTTTTTTGGTCCAAGGAAGTCTGTTAATTCCAATTAATTCTAGGACGGGAGCATCTACTTGCAGTCATTAGTATTTTATTATTGTAATTAAAGTGGTTTTTACCGAGTTATCTGCTAATTATCCTTATCTTAACAAACATTATTTTTACCAAGGTGTCTGCTAATTAAATCGCAGGACAGAAGGTGAGAATTTTAGACTTTGGTCAATCCTCACTACGTAATTGCAATGAATTTTGCAAACTTTTGGGCAGAATAAAAGCAAACATTTTGCTTAACACTAGCAATATATTTTTTATGAGCCAAACCAAATATGAATAAAACTATGTTAAAATACAAGCTTCAACCCTTTCCACTCGCATGCCGCCGCTCCGGCGACATAATACATATTACTTTTGCAATGTTCGTGTGGAAAGGTTTAATGCAATTCTACATGGCACATTATAATTTCTGGAAATTATGGATTTAATTCCAAAAACTTCAAAATAATTTTGTTTTAAATATTCAGTCAACAACTATAAATTCGATAGGTTCTGTAATAAAAAAATTACCAAATTACCAAGTTCAATACTTAAGAACTTTAGTTTCCAATTTTCTAAAAATACAAAGTTACACAAAATATTTCAATATTTATTTTTCTGGTATTTTCCATCACACTTATATTTTTGTTAATGTTGTGTTTGTCCTTAAATATATTTTTTATGGTTTTTGTGATATTTTGTCACATAATTAATTTCATTTAGATTAAAACAATAGTTATGTTCAAAATATTATAGTTTAAATAATTATTTTGTTATTTTCAAATATAGATATCTAGTGAATTTATACAATGTACTTACTCTTTTCATATATTAAATAAAATAAAAAATCATACAAAATAAAGACAAATACACGCCTAAGACCTACAATCAATTTTTTCGACAGGAAAACGTATTTTTAAAATATTAGCAGCCAATTCGTAGAAAATAAAAAACAATAAATATAAAAGGATTTATTTAGTACGTTTCGATACTGAATGCGTATTAACTTTCAGCAGTTAAAAATAATTATAGCCTAAATAATATATGTGACAAGTTTTACCTATTGGAATTCTAATTCATTTTTTGTTATAAATTGTCTTTCAGTTTTAATTTGTTTCAAATGTATTTCATTTCATTCTCTAGCACGCAAAAATCGGCGATAAACAGTCATTTTATAGTAAAAATAATATGATATTATAACGATAATGACATTAATGATTTTTTTCTAAAGCAGTATTGTACTAGTTGTCTGCCAATATATTTGCACCAATTATTTGAGTGCCTCTGTTTTATTCATATTTTACAACGTATATCAATTTTACAACATGAATCCATAGTAGTTTCCTTTTTGTCTGCATTGTGATTGTTTTTTATATCATAAGCACTTTTTTAATATCTGAAACCTTTTATCTTCTCCATAACCCTTACAAAACAGTCTTATGGTCTGAAGTATCATGTGGTCCAAAATTTTTATTTGTAAATATTTGCGCATTAATATTCGTTTGTTTGCTAGAAATTTATGGATAATACAGTTTTGATTTAAATAGAGTT